TCAAGGGAAGAAGAAGAAAGAAGATCTATAAATCCCAAGTAACTACTTTCTCTATCTACCTTCAATTGTAGCTCCTTTATTTTCTCTAATTCACATTCAATTGAGCTAAAAGTCATCAACTTTACCACCCATGTGCAGGTTAACACAAGAAGTAAACATGGGTCCTGTTTGGTTCGTAGTTATGGTTATCGTAGGAGTAATGACGTCTTCTGTGAGCGGCTACGGTGGTGGTTGGATCAACGCTCACGCCACTTTCTATGGCGGTGGTGATGCTTCCGGCACAATGGGTAAATCCTTATTTACAAAACCAACTTTTCAACCAAGTGGTAGTAGACAAGTAGTTTCGCCGTGTCAGAAATTTGTCATGCTGGTCTAGACCAAAAAGTGAATCTCTTCAAGCGTGAAATTATCGAACATCTCTACTTGGTCACTAGTAGACGTTTTAAGTGGCAAGAAAACCCGTGTCTCCGCGATTAGTTTAGGTTTGGATATAGGATGATCTGAGTTATAAAAAAGAAAAAAACTCATTTCTTACCAATAATCAAATTTATTGATTTTGTAATTTACTTGTTGTAGGTGGTGCTTGTGGATATGGCAATCTATATAGCCAAGGCTACGGGACGAACACGGCGGCTTTGAGCACGGCTCTGTTCAACAACGGACTTAGCTGCGGTTCTTGCTTTGAGATAAGATGTGAAAACGATGGTAAATGGTGTCTCGCTGGCTCAATCGTTGTAACCGCTACAAACTTTTGCCCGCCAAACAACGCCTTACCTAACAACAATGGCGGTTGGTGTAATCCTCCTCTTGAACACTTTGATCTCGCTCAGCCTGTTTTTCAACGTATTGCTCAATACAGAGCTGGAATCGTCCCTGTTTCTTACAGAAGGTAAACTTTATTCAGCTTCTCTGTCTTGAAGTTCTCTTCATTTGCTCTGTTTTTCTCCCAAAACAGAGCATATCATAATTAAGAACTATTTTCTTGGAATGATTAACTTTCGAGTTTCAAGGGTAAAATATGTTCATAATTCAATACTTATCTTTCAGATATTCTGTTTTTTAGTGTTTCTTCTGAAAAAGTTCCGATCAAATTAAATCTCTTGAGTTGGAAGTAAAAAAATTGTGTAAATTACTAAATTTTCCAGTATTTTATTCGTTTTGTTGCTCTGTTTTTCTCAATTATATATATATATATTATGGTTTTTTTGCCAGGGTTCCGTGCAGGAGAAAAGGGGGAATAAGATTCACAATAAACGGCCATTCATACTTCAACCTTGTTCTGATCACAAACGTCGGTGGCGCCGGAGACGTTCACTCGGCGGCGATCAAGGGTTCAAGAACAGGTTGGCAAGATATGTCAAGAAACTGGGGACAAAATTGGCAAAGCAACTCTTACCTTAACGGTCAAGCACTTTCCTTCAAAGTCACCACCAGCGACGGCCGCACCGTCGTCTCCTACAATGCGGCTCCTTCCGGCTGGTCTTTCGGACAGACCTTTGCCGGTGGACAGTTCCGCTAATTACGGTCATTCTCTACTCTTATTCTATCTTAAAAGAAATTTCAGCATTTGTGTGGTGTGTAGAGGGCATATTGGGTTCTTGCGGACTCGCTTATTGAGAGATTGATGGTTGGAGGGCTCGGTTTTGCAGAAGGCCTTGACGACGTCGGTCTTTCCTTGAACCTCTATATGTTTTTTTGCTTTCTTGAAGTAGTTTTTAATATTAAGAGAGGGGGGGAAAAAACATATAGTAGTTGCTGTATTACTAAGGCAGAGGTGGAGTTTTAACTACCGCCCGCTAGTTATTATTGCAAGTGGGCTTTCATTATTATTGTTATCCCCGTATTTACTCTTATTAAGACGTGAGAGATGTTGGATTATGAGGTTTTGTCAATTGTATTTTTGTGATGTATTTCATGAGATAAAGAGAAATCATTATGATGTTTGTAATAAGACGTTTCTTTACTAAGTTATGAAAATTAGGGTTTTGGTTATTTTTTCCCCCTTTCAAAGTCTGATACATTAAACTTTGTTTTCAACATTTACAAGTTCACAACCAGTAAAATAAATTAATCCAATCTCGACTTATCTGTGAACGTAGTCTTTTATAATTTTTTTTTTTTTTGAATGAGTTTTCTTTGAATGTCCACATCACTTTAGCTTCTTGAATTTAAAATGGTCTACAACCGACGTCGCAATCTCATCCTTCAATGTATGAACATAAAAACAATGAAAAACTTAAATATGTATGAACAACTTAAATCAACAATCAGTGCAAATCAGGAATCCATTAATTAATAGTTTCCAAAATTTCAGATAAAAAGTCTTTGTGGGTACGACGAACAATAGACCCAATGTTCAGACAACATATCGACATAAAATATTGTCTATTGTGTTCCGTTATCATCGAAACTAATTTCAGGTTTCAAGTGGTTGGATTTAACGTATGTGTGAGTAATGAAAGGTATGCTTTAGTTTTCTATTAGATCGTGAAGAAAAGATCTCCTTTTAGCAGTTACGACGGGTATTTTGCGACATCATCTAAGTGGAGTTTGATAAGTATAACACTTTGTGTCGCCAAAAAACAAATTGATGACATAAAAGTGATCTACACAACAAGCTAAACCCATGTGGTGGCTAGTGACTAAAGTAAATATGGTCCCACTCTCATGAATTCGGCTTCAACGTAACTCATGTGAACCGACATATTCATCCACCGGTTCTATTCTACTTTTAGAAGTAGAAAAACAAGCACTATTCATGTGGGAAAATGTATAGGCTAATTTAAAAGCCCATTCACTTGTAAAATGTTGGTCAGTTGTTATTTTATGGATTTGCAAAATGTACAGAGACAAAGATTACACTTTCGAAGGCAGATGCATTTAACACCAAAGTAGGGTAACACGAAACATGTTACACTGACATATTTTAAAGATACTCTTATCTTACACGTTGAAGATCTGGTAGGCAACCAAATCAGAAGTAACTACTAAACATTTAGGCACATTTAAAAACATTCAAACGACTTTCCAACAAACAGTTAAATCGCATTTACAGTTGAATGGTGTAAAAACTTCAGGCCCGGTCCAAAGTTTGGGAGGATCCAGAGAGAAAAACAAATTTTGGGCCTAATTACATGTAAAAAAAAAATATCGGGTCTTATAAAAAAAATTCACCTAATTTTTTTATTTATAAAGGGTGAATTTTTTTTTATTTATAAAGGGGCACTGGGCAAATGCATTCTTTGCAAACCCCTAGAACCGACCTTGAAAAACATATATATCAATTCATCAGCTAAAATGATATCATGTAGATCTTAACTAGTAAGTAGTAACTACTAGTTTCATTCGAAACACGAATGATCTTTAAAAATTATCTTTCTCAATTAGTTTTTGCAGTCACATTTTTTATTTTAACGGCCAAAAAGTGTTTAGAAGACATTTTAACAATGTTCCACGAGATTGATTAACTGTATTTTGCTCTCTTTTCACAAAATTGTTGGGAAATAAAGAAAAAAGTGGATCTAATATTTATTTTGTCAAATTATTTTTTGTTATTGTTGTAGTTGGAAATATTTGGGTTGTCCAAATCTATTATATAATTAGAGAGTTCTCTCTTTTTCGTTTTTTATTTAGTAATTTTTAGTAGTTACAAGTAACAATAAATATACATAGACATGGATTAATTGAACATTTAAAATAAAAGTTATTGTAAAAAAAATGATTTGTGCTTAGGTGGACACTTTAGATGGAGAGAGAACTCTCTATTTATATAATAGATTCGGGGAAAAAAGTTTGAAATTTTATCCGCGAAGAAAAATAAACAGTTTAGAAGTATAATCCACATTATGTATCTAGGAGTTAGCAACTTAAATTTTATATTTATATATGATTTTACTACCTTTAGTTTTGCCTGTGTATGACTCATTATGTTCCTTATGCAGTATGAGTGTCCTTATGTTCTTTTCATTAGCTCAACTAATCTTTGATTTAAAAATCCACGGAATAACCGAATTAAATCTTTTAACGCGATTCTTTATATTTCTCACCAATCAAAATGTTTTATTTCTTTTGTAAATGTGGAATAGATTTATAAAACCCACATACATGAGCAAAATACAACATGTATATATTTCACCATTAGATATCTATCTACTGTAACCAAAATC